GCCACAGCCAGTGGCTGCCCCCTCTGTCACTGATGTCAGGGCAGCCGTCTGATGTGTCTGCACTGTTCACCCTGTTCACTGTGTCCCTTCTACCCTAAACTGTAAAATGGAGAGTGTTCATAGAGGCCCTGTTGATCAGTGAGGTCCCTGTGTCTGTCAATGAGAAGAATGTCAGCTAAAATTTATTGAGCACGTCTTAGATGCCAGAACTGAGTTCAGCACTGTGTGTATTTACCCCCTTTAACCCTCGCTACTGCTCTGCATAGTGTTCCTCCTTTACAGATGAGGCCGTTAAAGCTTAGCCATAGATTTAGTAGTTTGCCCGAGCCTATACCACTACAATGGTGGTTTAAGTGTTAAAGGCCACACTGTCCCATTAGGGAGTGTGGGAGGCTGCACGCACATAGAGACTGAAGTCAGACAGCCTGGGGGACACGTTACCCCTCCTCTTTGACCATGGGACAAGTCAGGAACTGTGTCTCAGGTTCCTTAACTGTCAGCAGTAGTACCTACCTCACAAGTTGCTCTAAAGATGAGATGAACTGGTACGCTCATAAGAACAGCAGGGAGATAGCGCACAGTGTTTATAACCACTGCTTCATGTGGCCCTGAGGGGCCTGAAGTCACACAGCTAACATGTGGCAGGTCCAGGATTCATATCCCAGAGAGTCTGACTGCAGAACCCCTGCTCCTCAACACTGCGGGTGCCTCCGAGAAGTTTAAGGCAGAGCTAAAGAAGCTTTGACCCACCCACCCTCTGTCTCATTGCCTTTCCACTGGACGAGGTAGAACTGTGTGCTGGCCAGTCTCCAAAGCCAAGAAATGCCCCTCCCCCTTAGACAGCCTGACGACCTGTCTGTGAAGGCCCCGATCCCGTCTACCACCTCAGTGGCCCTTGGGTGGACGCTTAGAAGTAAGATAGGTGAGGGGTTACTGCTTGTCCTTGCCTGCCCTGACCTGCTCTCCCTTTCCTAGAAGGCTGCAGGTCCCTGGGCCAGCTGGAATTTCCTCTCCCAGAAGCTGGCCACCCTGCCTCACCCGCCCACCCCCTCCTGGGATGCCCTGTGCACAGCGGT